AAGTATTTCCTGATAACACACTTTTCAGAACTTACAGTTGTTCACTACTGATCTGTACCACTATTGAAGCTAAAGTATCTATTTGCTTACATGATTGTTGCAGGTTCTATTCAATGGAATGCAGAAAATTCACCTGTCGTCTGGTTAAGCACTGTTTTGTGCTTAATGAAGTCTTCGCTTACAGTGTTTGGTGAGAGCCAAGGCGCATGTTTAGATAGGATTAGGAGTTGAAACCAATTCCAAGTTATCAATGGTACAATCTGAAAATTTATCAAGATGGACGTGTTTAGGGTTGTGGCATCTGCCAAAGCCTGAAGATCCGGTCCACCATGAAGATATTATTATATTAATCAATAAAATGTTTTTATTTAATTTTAATTGTAAAATATATTGAATATTAATATAAAAATATATCTTTAAAATATTTTAATAAAAAATATAAAGCAAATAGAGAGGGGGTGGCGATTTGGCCGCGTCTTTGGTTTTGAAGTTCAACAGTGTCTGAAAGTGATGATTGATGACACTGTTACCATGAGCTTTACTTAGTCCGTAAAGGGAGTCAAAACTGGTTGAACTTGAGGGACTCTTAGCAACGGAGTTCGGCAGATCAATGGCCATACAGTTTTGTTCAGGGCATCCTGACAGTAGTTGCTATGGCAGAGAATCGGCTATTCTTTGTTGCAGTAGAAGCAGAACTTCAGTCTTTGTTGATAACGTAAGTGCCCTGGAAGGCTTTATGGGACGTTTCCAACATGTACGAGCACATTATGGATGTCTACATCTAGGATAAGGTTAAGAGGAGCAAAGGACACCACCTTTGCCTCATCAAATATCATTGGAGACTGAATGACCACGGCTTAAGTCTGGCAGCGATGAACTAATCGATGAGATGGTGTTTCAGTGAAGAAAGCTACTTTTGGATGGGCTACAGATTCAAAGGAAAGGACCAAATGAGAGTGAACACCAAGCAATAGTCAGGCAAGAGTGTATAAACGGTGACGTAGGGTTCCGTTCGTACAAAGAGAGCTGATAGGAGATCCAAACCATCAGACGAAAAGGGTAAAGGGTAAGAATGAGGCTGTAACGAGCCAAAAACTTCATAGAGAGGAATGGGCGATTATTTCGCCATGCAGTGGCAAGGGAACAAGCCGCACGGTATGTGTGGTGGATGACAAAAAAACAGTAATGGCATGCCACAGCCATTATTCTTCAATGCGATACTACCTGATGAGGAGATGAACTGGTTGGCTAGGAACATCATGGGAAAATTAAGTCGACGTATGCATTTTAAGGAGGTGAATGATGCTCTAATTCACGAGGACATTCGGCCGGTGGTCATCAGTTTCTGGGACAAAATGGAAATGGATACCTTATTGAAAGAATACAGGGACCTGTTTGATGGTTGGCACGCATGCTTGTACCCATGCTCGGAGTGTAAGGAAAGAAGGCTCTTCAACATCTGGATGAGGGTGGAGAATGCACCTCCACATGTATGGTATGAAGCTTTCTTCCGTTTGTTGGATGATAATGAGGGAAGTTTGTTATGGTGGACTTGCAGGCGCCACTAAAATTATGCTTTGATCTGGCCTGTTTGACGGTGGAAGTGGCGAACAAGGCTACCATTCCCTCGGTGGTGAAGGTGCTGACAGAAGTCGAGTGCTATGTATTATCTGTGAAACCATCGGAGGTGGAAAAAAAATCATTATGACCAAGGAGGTTGTGTCTGAACACTCAGAGATGAATTTCGTGAGGTGCTTGAGGGGGAATTGACGAAGTAAGCTTCTTTTTTTTAATGGAAACTATTTCGGATGGAGACATCAATAGAAGAAACGTCACCTTGATCAGAAAGGCAGAAGACACATTGGAAACTACTGTTAACATAGGGTTGGTCTGCCACAACAATAGACAAGATATTATGCACCTGTTCAAAACCAGGGAGAAAACGGACCAGTTGGAGTGACCACAATGAGCATCGATTTAGGTTGTGTCTGAACACTCAATGAAATTCTTTAACTAGGAATATCAGAGAACTTAGGAGAAAAGAAAAAAATTAGAGCTGTTAAAAAACTAATCGGTAAGGAAAAATCGGATATTGTGTTTTCGCAAGAAACAAATTTGCAACAGATTGATGAGAACTTTTACAAAAAAATTTTGATGCAATCAATGACGGAGTCAAGGTGGTGATAGGCGTCACCCTTCAATTTTTAATTTTTTATTATTGTATGTCAATAACCTTATATGATTATCCTTTAGTTACCTCTCATGTAAAATTCTAGATTTGCCACCGGAGACAACGCAGCACCAATAGGTGATTTCGTCGAGTCAAGTGGTGTTGTAGGAGATCTAATTACAGTGTGGAGATAGCCTTTTTAATAATTGAGTCTTTATTTTAGATTTCATTTATACATCCTGATGATAAGGTATGTGAACCAATGGAAATTCGAATGCAACTTCGACGATGTTTACACACTTAATGATGATGGGATATACAACGTTTGTGGAAGGAATTAGTTGAGATTTTTAATTTGCTCCAACTACCATGATGCCTTGATGGTGACTTTAATATGATGGGGACTATGATGAAGAAAATTGACAGTCATAATAATTTTAGAGCTATGATCCAAATCAGAAAATTTATAAACTTGATAGAGATGGTTGATATCTTAGTGGTTGGTGGGAAATTTACATAGTACAACAACGGACGTGCGTTGTCCTTTCATCAAATTTTTAATTTTCAATCTAGATTAAACAAAAATTTATATTGTTTTAATACAAGGTATATAATAGTAGTTAGATATAAGATACGTAGCAATTTTTAAAAGAAATTATTATACAAACTATTAAACAATCTAATTTTAAATCTTATTTGGTATACTAATTTAACATCTTAATTTTTTTTTAAAAAAAGCTGGATTTCATTTCATCGAGAAGGAAAAGAACAAGAAACAGAACAAGAGGTAGACATGTTTTTTGAAAGATGAGTTTTTATTAATGATAAGCTGGAATGCCGTGGGGAGTCTTCAACGTTGAGATTCGGAGACTCCTGTTGGCATGGAAGCTATCATAAGAAGAGCCTGTTCTGAACAATTACAAAAGGAGCAGCTGCTCAAGGAGCACTTGGCAGCATCTCAACACGGATAATCTCAAAAACAAGCAGAGTTCTTGATAAATCCCTAAACAAAAATCTAATACTAGTAAAACTCTATTAGAGTGATAAGATAAATGAGTGTTTTAAAACAAACCACCGCCCACCGTGGAGCTCGAATCCAGAGATAACCTTTTAACCGACACAGCAGTATCATAGATGCACAAGGACACAAACAAGAACAGAGGCCACACGCAACTTCCTCCTGATCGATTAAGTTCTTTTTCTCTATCTCTTGCTAGACGGCCACCCTCTCATGCTGCATCGTAGGATGCACCAGACCCAGATAAGAATCAGTGCACGTCAGAGCCCCAAACAC